TTACTGCCTCCCCATGCAGCTTCACACCTGGCTGGCCACTAATAATTTATTGCAAATCACTCCAGTAAGACAGTCAGCTTCCCTAACTTCAGATCCCTCAGAGCTCAGCACAGCTGGGCACCGAGCTAGTGTTCATTAACACCTCGCTGGACCTGGCTCTTCCCACTTTCTTGGCCACCACCAAGAAGTTACCTCACATACAAGATGGGCAGGGCGATGCATCGTTATTTTTTTTTAACTTGAAGATTTTTCCTTTTTTGGTACCAGGGATCGAACTCACGACCTCGCGCTTGCCAGGCAAGTGCTTACACCTCTGAGCTTAATCCCCAGCCCTGAAGATTTATGTTTAAAACAGAGAAAACAACACACTCTCAGGGAAAGTCAGGTAGGGAACTGGCCCCGGTAATTGGTCCCCACACCTGGCATTGAGAGCCCTGCCTGGGAGAGCAGCACACTGCCACACAGCACAGGAGACTTGGCAGACCACTCCTGAGCCACCCAAAGCTGCCACAGGTCCAAGGCACAGAAGTCTTCCAGCTCATCGTACAACGAGTGTCACTTGTTCTCAGTCAGCTTGTGGTCCCCAGCTGAAGCCAAAAGCATGCACAACATCTTGCCTAGCTCACAGGTGACAACCTTGTCTTCTCAGGCGTTGCAAAAGGAGCTGCAGTTCTCTCTTTCCTGGATGAGCTCCCGGAAGTGGTTCCTCTTTAGGGCCCAGGATCTGCCTGATGTTCCCACTTCCTAGCTCTGTGGCCCTAGAGCCATCAGGGAAGCACACTTGTAAAATCAGTGCTCTCCAAATGGGCAGCTCCCACGGCCTTCCCCAAAATATCTGTGCTTGTTGCTCATTGCTTCTTTGTCTGTCTGAGTTTCTGCTTCTCCTCTTTCTCCTCCACCTAGTACTCGCTTGGAATCACAAAGTTTCACGTGATTGGACTTCCTGACCTTGCTCTCCAATTCCTTGCCCCTCCTCCACCTTGAATTCACTTGAGACAGTGGGTGGGGTTGCAGCTGAAGAGGATGTGACGTGGGGCCGGGGTTGGCTTTCATCAATTCCCCGCAGATGTCCTTATTTGGCTGCACTCCGAAGGGCAGCTCCGTGTCCTTCTCATGGGCCCCGATGCAAGACTTTATGTGCTGGGACCTCTGGGCTGTATCCATCGGATGCAGGACATGTCGCAGGTGTGACCATGCAGGTACACACAGTTCCCTGCACAGAGACACCGTCCCACAGTGGCCTCCAGGCAGCGGGGCCTGCTGCTGCTCCGACTCTGCCTTGGCCTCCGAGCCCTGCCTGGGACTCTGGGCAGCCAGGGCCTGCGCAGCCGCAGTAGGGTCACAGCTCTAGCTAGACTCATGCCCGATGGTTAATCTCCTGGAGTGGACCCTGCTGGAGGAGAGATTGGAGGCATCATAAGGGATGGTTCTGCAGTGCATATTAGCACCTGCTCCCTCTTGTCTCAGTGATTGCTGAGCTCGTATCTGCAGCCACCTCCATAAACACAGTACCCTCGCCGGAAGTACTTGCACACTACACTGTAGGGACGGTCGGAGAGGTCACATGAGTAGCAAGTTATCTCCTTCCTTGCAAACTCCATGCATGAAATATCTGTTCTTTGCTTCTTTCCAGGTTGTTCTGGAGCAACTTGTTTTTTGCCTCTTTAACCACTTGCCTGCTTCCCTATCAGAATCCCGGTCTGCAGAGCTCGAAGGAAGAAGTCCCTCTGAGTTAGGAGCTGATCCCTTACCTGCAGTCCACAGCCTCTTGCTCCTCAGGTCTCCCACGCTGCCTCTTAAATAGTGGAGGGTAACTGGGCGTGGTGGTGCACGCCAGTAATGCTAGCAGTGAGGAGGCGGGGCAGCAGGACCGCAAGTCTGAGCCCAAGCTAGACAGCTGGGCAGTTTGATCAGAGCAATGCGTTACTGGAGCAGACTGGCTGGTCTAAACTAGTAACGTCCAGCTCTACACTTCTGTGCAGTCCTGGACCATTTCACTCAGCCACATGTGGAGCAGTTATGTGGATTTGGAGCAAAAAGACCCACAGCTTACATCATAGCTCTGGTCATTCTTAGCTGAGTGGTCTTGGATGAGCCAATTTATCTCTCTAAACTTTTTGTCTATAAAATGAGGGGCAGTAATAATAATAGTAATAATATCTTCACCCCAGAGATTTTGGCAGATCCTGTACATGAGCAGGTTTCATAACCTACACAGTATTATTCGAGCTGAAAAGTCACAATGGCAACAACAATAATAGCACTTCCCTTTACATAATAAGTGCTTATTATTGATATCAGAAACCAAAAGATCACAGTTGATAGATTTATTGTTCACTCTTCCTTTCCAACCGGATCTGCTACACTGTCACCATCTCCTGGTAAGGACCTGGACGAGCTGGACAGTAAATGCTGGTTTCAGGCTTAAAGATGGAGGTGTTTTCCACCCACCAGAACCTCTCCCACACTGCAGCTATGATTTGACAGCTGACTCCTAGAAACCTATTCCCTAGGTAACAAAGCCAACCATACATGAAAGCCCTTGTATTTGAGTGTTCTTCGTGTAAAGAGAGCAGATCCTCCAGGAATGAATAATCATTTGCACAACTCCTCAAAAAAATGCTGATAAACACACAAAGTTTTGTTATTGCTAAATGCTAATTGCATTTCCTTGGGTAAGCACCATAAAAAATTCATTGCGGTTTCCAGAAACAAGATGCCAATTGCATTTTAATTGCTAAAGAGAAAAGAGTAGGGAAGAGGCTTTACCAAGAAAATGCTAAACTGGCATAAACTCAGTAAGAGAGCTCCCCAAACCAACAGCACTATTCTGAAACAAGAGATAAGACGAGAAGTGGGCCTTTTGGGGAAGCCAGTTCTTCCTGAGAGAGCACTGTTTCTCCCACTGTAAACCTCAGGATTTGTCACTGCAGATTATGACATGTAGATTTAACAAATTTAAAGAACATGACAGGCACCTGTCAAAATTCTAGAGTAGATAAAAAAGACTCAGCACCAAAATGTCAAGAAACGTGGATATGAGGAAAAATATATTTCTCTCCTATAGCTTGTATGTGAGAGAGGATGGGAGAAAAAAGTTGGACCAAGACCATGTACCACTTCAATTTAATAACAGAATATTTTGGACCAGTCACACAACAGTCCTTTTTTTTTTTTTTTTTAATTTTTATTTAAGGAGAAAAGAAAAGAAAGAAAAAAAAACAGTGAAGGGGTACAAGTTATACAGATTTACAGAATAAAAAAATGCGCAGTAGGAAATCACTAGTTAATGGATTACATATTGCCATCTTAGAAATAATTGTTCAAGTCACAAAATTAAAGCTTGTAGAGTGGACATTCCACCAATGATACTGCAAACAGTTCTGTTCAATGATCCAATAAAACTCTGTGATATCATTTTCTATCTTATACTTTTAAATATACATGCAGTTATATAGTTTAGAGCACTTTCTTTTCCTCTCTTTTGTACAGTGACTATTACACATTTTGGGTTTCATTGCTCCCACAGTTCTTGTTGCTTTTTTGGAAGAGAGTAAAACCAAATGTGACATAACAGAACAGAATCGGTCAAGTCAAAAGGGTGGACATAATAGATAATATAAAAACATAATACAAGGTGATCAACAATGGTTACCCTAATGCCTCCCGCTATTTCTAATAGAATTGCCTATATCATTAGTTGTAATACAATTGAACAAAACCGTAAAGAATAAAACCCACAAAACCAAAACATTGGAGACATTGTAGGTCTTCAAAAGTAGATAAAAGTCAACGAGAATGGGCGTTATAATGAATCTCATTATCTTCTCAGCTGATGCCTAAACTTTCGAACCTGATACTATCCAGCAAAACAGAATATAGGAACCTCAGTCAAAAACAAGATGGTGAGAGTAATACAGGGCTTCAAATCGAGATAATAGAAAGTCAAAGTGGGTTACTATATTATATCCTGCTATATTTTTCCCTGTAATTAAATGGGTAAAAATAAAAAAGTAAATAATGGAGTGGAGATTGAGAAAAAAAGAGGGCATAACAGCGAAACAGGGCAGATCAAAACATAACCATTTAAGCAGAATAGTGTTTCACCACCAGCTAATCCTGACCCAAAGATAGTTACCATATTGACTCCCTCCCTGAAGTCCTTGAGTACAACTTCATATACTGTAGCATTAAGTATATCAAAACAATGTAAATCCATTTAAGAGAATAACAGCATTATAGAGTATTTAGAATCGACTAACAGAAAATGAACAATGGTCTCTGTATAATCTCCTTGTCTTTAAAAGGTTTTTTCTTATACTATCGTACATAGTAATATCCAATAAGATACAACCTGTTTAGACCATTGGAGACAGAAGAACAAAAGCTAGATGAGACTTCAAAACAAGATGGTACTAAATCAGCATTACCTATTAAGATGTCATTTTCTCCAAAAAAAGCTGTTCCTATCATCCAATCTTCTCTGTCTCATTTCTGTTGAGCTCTTTTTCTGTCAGTAGCTGTCAGTTTGTCTTCTTCGTTTTGGTCTCTGCTCTATTCGTTGTGGCCTCCCCGCCCCTATTTCTGGGTTCTTTGTATTTTTCTTTTTTTAGAATATCCTGCAATACTTTCTGTAGGGTTGGATTGGTGGTTGCAAATTCCCCCAGTTCCTCTTTATCTTGGAAGCACCTCGTTTTTCCATCAATTTCCAGGGACAGTTGTGCAGGATATCTCAATCTTGGCTGTAGATTATTATCTTTCAAAGCTTGAATTATTTCTCCCCATGCTCTTCGTGATTTGATGGTTTGTGAAGAGAAATCTGCTGTAATTTTGATGGGTCTTCCCTTGTAAGTGATCTGTTTCTTGTCTCTTACAGCTTTTAATATTCTGTTCTTGTATTGAATTTCTGGAATTTTTATTATTATATGCCTGGGTGTTTCTCTGTTAGGGTTGTAGGTAGCTGGGGTCCTGTATGCCTCATACATTTGAGTATCTTTACCTTTTGCTAAATTAGGAAAATTCTCCTGGATTATTTCTGTGAGTAGCTTTTGTAGTTCACTTGTTTGTGTCCCTACTTCTTCTTTTATGTTCTTAATCCTTAAGTTGTGGCTCCTCTTATCATCTTCTTGTCTTTGTATTATTGCTGTGTGTTTCTTTGTTATTTTTAAGAAGTTTTTCATTTCATTCTCCCATGTTTCAAGTCTGCCCTCCAATTCAGATAGTCTGTCCTTAGTTTCTTTCAAGCTGTTATGCCAGTCTTGGGTATACTTCTTGATTTCTTGATAGTCCCTTTGCACTTGCTTCACATACTCAATGCTTTCTCTGTTTTCTCCATCAAGCAATTCTCCCCTCTTTTTCTGTTCTTCCACTCCACCATCTGCTTTTTCCTGGGTGGTGCTTAGCATTTCTCTAACTATTCTGCATACTTCTAGCTTCAGGTCATTGATAACTTCATTCCTGAATTGGTCTATGAGGCTCTCTAAATGGCGCTTAATGTATATTGGTACAGTGTCCACTATTGCCTGATTCTCAGGATTGGGGGTCGAGGAGCCTTTTTTGTTGCTTCCCTTCCCCATATTTTCTGTTCCTTATAAAATGTAATCTTACACAGGAGGCCCGGCTTCCCTGCCTGTCAGCTACAGCTTGATCGAATTGCGCTGGCTAGTTGTTCCAGCTCACCGCTGCGCCCCAGGGAGTTGCGGAGGAGGCAGCCTACGCGGAAGTCGGTCGCTCCTCCGGGCCACCGTCAGGCTCTGGGATCTGGGCTAGCCAGCCTAGGGAGTCCGCGAGCAGCGTCCCTCCGGCCAGGCACCTTTCACCAATCCTGTCCGAGAGGGAAATGCGCGGCTGCAGTTGCCACCGCGCCCTGCTCTTACAGGACTGCCCGCGCCCAGAAAATCCTCCGCTGGAGTCAGACTGCGGTAGGGAGTCAGTTCCTCGCTCACCTCGCCACCAGTCAGCCTTCCTTCCTGCCCGTCGCGTTTCCGAGACCGTTCCCAGACGCCCGTTCCCAGAGCTTGGGGGTCGCGTCTCTCCTTGCTGAGCCACTGTGGAGGTGGCCGGCCGCCGCGCGGCGGGAAATCCAAGCCGCGGTTTCCAATGGCGCGGAGTCGAGCCTCCACACCGAGATTTTTCTGTTCCTATTTTAGCGCCAGGACTGTATTCCAAGTTGGATTCTCTCAGCCCAGTTCGTTCCTGAGTCAGCAGAGCATATCTCTACTGGTTCGTATCTCCTTAGTCCGCATCATTCCTGGCCTCTGAGCCGAGCCTTTAGAGAGCGTTCAGAAGTTGCTGTTGTCTGTCCGCCATGTTCTCCAGAGTCCACAACAGTCCTTTTTAAATGGACACTTATTCCAACTTTAGTCTGCTTGCTTTATAGTACCCGGTGCAGGGCTCTTCAAGAACAGGAAGTAGATGAAACCAACCAGGAACTTGGGAGGATCCTGACTTCCGTGGGCTTAATCCGGGTTGTCCAGCACCAACCTCATATACCCAGGGCCCTGAGCTAGGATATCCTCTAGGTGGGCACTTAACTCACTTTAGGATGCAGGACTAGGCGTACACTGAGCATCCTCCCAAAAGATGCACAAGGAGCTCAGGAGGAGAGAGGGCAGAGAGACAGGCTTCCAGCTGCTCTCCACAGCCTCTTCTGCCTGCCCCCGGACCCCCACCACCATTCCCAGCCTCTCTTGAGATGAGAGAGAGAGGAACTAGAAGGCGGCGCCCGAGAGGAGAGGCCCAGTGGCTGCTGGCCCGTGGCTGGTGACCGCCATGCAAGCAGCGGGAAGCCATTCACACCTTCTTCTTCTGTAGGGTTGCTGCTGCTTCTCCAGTTAGTGGACCTGCCAGAGAGCCCAGGAGATATGAGCCTGCATTAACGTGCAGTGAGATTGGCGGAAACCATGGGACGTGAGAGTAGGGAGTCCTAGATCAAAAGGGAAAGAGGATCAATTCACAACACAGCACTGCCACATGCTAGCCAAAAGACTTTTATTTGAGTTAATCTCTCAGCCTTTCACCTCTAACAAATGAGATTGAAAATACCTGCTGCTGTAGATTTTCGTAAGACTTGAATGAGAACACGGACACGTACATCCCCTGTGTTCTCTGAAGTGTGTTACCTACCACCTGCTCCTGTGCCAAACCTTGAAGACATGCTTTTCATGACCGTGGCCCTGCCTTTCTAAACACTTAACACAAATGCTGTGCTTTGATACACGTTATCACACCCAGCCCACCCACTGAACAGATGAGACCTAGTGTCACATAAGAATTTAATGAGATGCAAACTCAAATCCTTACAGCACACACAAAGTAGCTGAGATGATCGTGACCAGGAAACAGGTTCAGCAAGGGTAGTAATTTGCCGAAATTTACACAAGAAATGGCAGATCTAAGCTACAGCCTCAGGTCATTCTTAAATTGAAAAAATTCAATGTCACAAGCATCACTTCTGCCCCCTCCTGTTCTGGGAAACAGTCCCTAGTCCCCTCTCCAGCCCGCAGCAGGGCCCAGGCTAAAGGGACACGGTTCCCAGTATCCAAGGGACACATCCTTTAGAAACACCCTAACCCCACACCTGCCCCACACTCACCTGCACGGTGTCACGGATCCAGTCCACGAACTCAGCGACCTTGGCGTAGACACCTGGGTGATTGGGCTCTGCGCAGCCACGACCCCAGCTGACCACCCCCACCAGATGCCACGTGTACTGATGGGGGCATACCAAGGGGCCCCCACTGTCCCCCTGAGGGATCCAGGCATGGAGACAGAAAAACAGCCAGTCAGATCTTCCTGCTGGAGCAGTACATGACCACCATGGATGACGGACTTTCTTGGGGTCCCACCTAGTTATCCTGCTGGGACGACTGCTACTTAACCCCATAATCCCTTAGCAGGAGTTCTCCTTCTACAAGGGCTGTCTGATGCTACCACAAACACAGACCAGGGGGCCAAACTGCAGTGGGCCCCATCCCCTCGTCCACCATAGGCCACACCTGGCATGCATCGGCCCTCCCATCCAGGTAGCCCGCACACAGCATGCGAGAGGTAAGGGATCCACTGTAGACGCATGAGCTGTTGCAGACCTCAGTGCTGAGCAGGGGCACCACCGCATCCTGCAGCATGTCTGAGCTATGGCCTGCGGGAGACACCAGGAGAAGGATGCAGGGCACACAGCAAGGTCAGAAAGGTGGATCAGCAAGACAGGAGAGGTCAGAGGTGTCAAAGACACAGTGACCTGAAGACAGGAGCCCAGATAGGAGCTGTGGGCCGCAGCAAAGGAGCAAATGGGACGGGGAGCAGTGAGGGGGCAGAAATCACCAGACGCTTCAGGTATGGCACTCTTGGGACCAGAGGAGGGGCTGCAGGAAGGCCTGGCTTTAGCTGTTCTCCCCCAAAAAAACACAGGAAAGGGGACCAGGACTCCCAGGACTGGCACTGCCACCTGGCCGGGAAGTGAAGGTGCCTCCCTCGGAGAAGGGTGCCTCCCCCACCCCTCTGGCACTGAGGGCCCTGGGAGCTGACTCACTGTAACTGGGGTCCGTGTGGCCCCAGCCAGACACCCAGCACTGGGAGCCCCTCGGAAAATGCTGCTCCTCTGCCGGCAGGCACACAGCCCCAACGGTGTCTGCGGAGAGGCCTGTGCTCTAGTCCCATTCGGGTTCAACTTCCCTCCTGCAGAGCCTGGGTGAAGACTTCCTGGCCCTCTTCCCACAGTTCAGGTGCCTGGCGCCCCCCAGCCAGGCTCTCTAAGTGCTGCACGGGTCAAGCACCATCTCAACCTTGAGGATGACCAGTCAGAGAGATCAGCATGCACACCACAGTGTGCATGGCACCCTCTGGAGCAGGCAGCACGCTTACCCAGCTCGCACCTGGGGACTGAGAAGAATGGCCTTTCTTTTGGCCCTAGGGACTCAGTTGCTAATGGAGACCCATTTTGGCTTTTCCCCAGGGTGTCTGATCCTTCCTGGGACAGTATTTCCAAAAATAAGCGGCATACCCTTTGGTGAACACAGGTCAGCAGGCATGTCATCACGTGAACATGGGTTCACTTGGGGCCCGAGCTGCTTTCTTTTCAACTCTTTTTCAGGCTCTCTAACCCCATCAGGAAGAAAAAAGCCATTTGGTGCTGGTCTGCATCTCTCCGAATACTGTCCGTCTCCCATGGGAACAGAAGAGGCCAGGCCGGGGCTCGGAGACTTCTACTGAGGACGCCAGCCCCCTAGATCTTACACTTCCTTGTCTTTACACGAAGAGGTTTTGTGGCTACTGTCTATCTACTATAGCACTGTAGGCTCTTCAATTGGGTAATTTCTTCTTTTATATATGTTTATCTAAATCAATTTAGAAACAGTAACTATGAAAAATGGTATGTGATTAAGATTTGTGAAATGCATACAGCTAAGATTGCTGTTTGGGAAACCCCAGCCCACAGGTGAAGACCAGCAAGGGAGTGTTGTGTGTATAACAGTAAACACATGTGGGAGGGTGTGCATGGGCACATGTGTGTGGTGCAAGCATGTATGTCTAAGAGTGCATATGTGAGAGTTCAGGGGTACAAACACATGAGTGTGTCTGTGTGTGAATGACTGTGTGAGCATGTGTATGTGTGTGTCTGCCGGAGAATCCCCACGTGCAATGCATGATGGAGGGTGCTTGCTGGGGCACCAGCAGCCTGAACTCACCCTTCCAGGGTAGGTACAATGGCAGGAGCCCTGGCCTCTGTTAGGACAGCACGCTCAGAAACTGATTGCCACGGAACTTGAAGGAAACATCCTTGTTTTAAACCTCTCTCACCAGGGGGGTTATGAGACTTGAGAGAAGGAATGTTTGGAAAAAATAAATCTCTTTAACTGTATCAGGTCACAAAATGACTGGCACTAGCCTGGGAACAGGGTGACAAAGCCTTTTGTAGATAGGACAGCAGAGAATCTCAGCCTCCTATCCGTAGCCCCACGTGAAAAGGACCCAAATCTTTGTCCCCAAAATAGCCTACACAAGAGTTTGTGCAACTTATGGTTCAAGAGAATGCCAAATTTCTCCCAAATGTCCCCCAATGAATAGAATGTTTCAAGGTTTACAGCATTAAGAGGAAATATCAGACATCAGCTCAGCTCTCCTCCTGCCCAGTCACTGCGGCCCCAGCCTGCTCACCCCAGAGCCACGGTCTCACCTGAGAAGTTGAGTGGCGTCCGGAGCCTCAGGAGGGCAATGTCATAGTCATGACTCTGAGCACTGTAGAAGGGGTGGGGGATGATTTTCTCCAACATGGCTCCCTGGTGAGGCCTGATGGCACTGTGGCTGACCAGCCCTGTGTGAACTTGCCAGCTAGAAAGTCGAGACAGCCTGGAACTGTACATAGAACCACGCTGAGCCCAGGGAAGAAGGTAGCAGGAGAGGTTGACTGTGAGGTGGTGGGTGGAGGAATCTGGCCAGAGAAGTCAAGAGGGGGCTGCCATCAGCAGCCTGTGTGCTCCTGAGACCCAAGGACCATGCTTCTTAGTGTCACCCCAGCAATTGTGGGTAACCAAGGACTGACGGATAGAGAAACAGGGCACTATGGGATACCTACAACTATTCCCCTTTCCAACATGATCCCCCAGCAAGATACACAGCAAACAGTAAAGGGTCTTGCATGATATAAAACTCCATCCTGAGTCCAAAACACTTCCTCAGCCTTCCTTCCCATTTACTCTGTGTAAACCACTTCCTCCCCGCAGCCTCAGTCACTGTCACATGGAGATTGCCAAAGAGCCCAGGCATCGCTTCATCCCCCCACTAGCATTTATCAAGCTCTGTCATACTCCAGTGACTGTTCTAGGCCTAGGAACACAGCAGTGGGGAAATCCCCAAAGGGATTAAGCAGAGAGCAAGACCCAGAGTCACAGCTCCTGTGGTGCTTCCCATCTAAAGGGGAAGAAGACATTCAACAAGTAATTACAGGGAAATGGCTTAATTACAGTGGCGGTAAACATTAAGAAAGCACAGAGTGCCGGGATGTGAAAGCATTTTTAAAACGTAAGAGCGGAATGCATATAAAGAAGCAGGCTTTGCATTATTACTGTTGCTCGTGCAGATCCAAACTTGGCGCTGGGCAGGTCGAACATCAGCCTCGCCCACTTGGAGTGGACCACAGGAGGCAGACAGTTGGACACTTGTACAGGACACACCAACACCCAGACAGAAGAGGAAACAGACACTCAGCTCCCCAGGCCCCTAGACTCGCCTGTGCATGCAGTGTGCAGCAGTCACCACCCAGTGGGGGGCCAGCACTGAACCCCCACACATGTGCCGGGAGCCGAGGGTCACACTGGCCTGCCACGGCCAGCGTCCAGGAGCCACGGCCTGCCCACCAACTATCCGAGAAGCCAGAGGCCTTGCCCCACACTCTGCCAACAGAGAAGAGCGAGACAGAGGGCCAGATGTGGGGGGCCAGTGAGGACCACCTGTGGTTAGAATTCCCAGTCCTATGGAGAGAGACAGGAAGATAGATGATCATTACAGGCTAAGGGCTTGCTGAGAGCAGGGACCGTGACTGCGGGATCTCTGGGGCCCTAATGCCCACCCCCAGGGGGGTTCAGAGTGTCAGCGTGTGCAGGGACGTGTGGGAGGACGCACGAACTGGTGGGTGGATGGGTAGACAGACCCGTGACAGAAACTCCACGGACTGCTTCCCATTTGGCCCCTAATTCACCACCTGCTTGAGGCTGCTAACAGCTCACTCCACAGCCAGGGTAACTCCACCTTTGGGGCTCTCCGGAAGAAAGCAGAGGCAGAGAAGCCGTCAAGAAGCACAGACAGAGCTCATCAGCCAGCACAGCAGCTGATGGGGATGAGCCAAACAAATGTGCTCTGTCTGAGCAGACTGTCTCTGCAGGACGGAGCCCAGGAGACACGTGGGCAGGCAGCAAGGACCCTCAGCCCAGACCCCAACTGAGCCTCCCTCGAGGCAGCAGGGAGACGCCTCCCACCACCACCTTCCTGGGTGCAGGGCTTGACTCACCAGAGCATTTGAGGGAAACGATTCTGCCAGAAGTGCAGTTGTCCCTGCAAACAGAGGTGCCAGCAAGAGCCAAGTAAGGTCACCCTGAGGCCACACACAGTGCACGGCAGGGGACGGGGCTTTCTTTTCTTTTTTTCTCCTTTGGTACTGCTAATCGAATCCAGTACCTTGCGCCTGCCAGGCAGATGCTGTGCCACTGAGCTCTGTCCCCGACCCCAGGTACAGTTCTTATGGCTCTCATGTAGCTACAGCCTTAAGAATGCCACCAGTTTCTTCCAGCTCCTGCCAAATGCTGCAGGCCTCCTCATAATCATTCCCGGAACAGCAGCTCACATCCTAACCAATCCTCCAGAGGCAAAAGAATTCCTCCGTGGGCAAAAGAATTCCTCCCTGGAAGGTCCATTAGGGTAGGGCTCAAATTTACAACTCTGTTCCACCTTCCTTCCCGTATCCATTGTTCGATGACCCATGCCTGGCCCCTTGGTTTTGCAAATCCATATTTTTACCCCTTTTTTTCCCTTCTCTCCCTTTGTATAAGTCTCAACTTCCTTTCAACCAAACTGCTTATCTCTTTCTCCTCCCTGCAGGGCTCAATGTCTGGATCCTCTTGGTTTCCAGTTTCCCAAATTCATAGCCCTCCTGTCCTGGAGGAGGCAGTGACAGCACCACCTCCACTGGCCACCCAGAAACCTAAGACAGGGACATAGTTGGCCTCCCTGCCCGCAGTAGGTTTCTGAGGATGCACCCTCAGTTTGGAGGTGAGTAGGAGGGCCTGAGAGAACAGCTCAGAGGGGAAAGTCAGTCAAGGATTAGAGGTCTGCAGAGCTATGACGGTACCCCGGCCCAGGAGACCTCTGGGCAAACTGAGGACACCAAGCGGGGAACAAGGTCTCTTAGCTTGGGCTCCACACACCCCAGGCTACCCTGAGGGTTTGGGAAAGGACCTGCTGCTTCCTGAGCCCTCTTCTCTAGGACATTCTCAAGGATCCAATTTGCTCTTAGCCAGAACAATTCGAACATTCTTCCCTGAGACATCACAAGTTCAAACTCAGACTAAGCAATTTGGTGCCTTAGAAAATCTCCAAATAAAACATGCAAAGTGCTTGGGGCCAGCTCATTGCTAGGACCCTGGGTTCAGTCCCCAGTATTGTCAAAAACAGGAGCGGGGCAGACTGTGAGATCATTTGCCTTGGAAACAGGGGCTTGGTTCAGGATTTGGCTTTGCTGGTATTAGATATGTGAGCCTGGATAAAATTGCTTAACTCATTTAACCTCAGTTTTCCCATCTGGACAAGGACGTGAGAGCACCATTGCAAATCACGAGGCAGTCCCAGCCAACCCTGTCTTTCTTTGGTGAGCAATAACATAACGGTAGCTGTGACCAGCAGGGTCCACATGAACCAGATTCATCTTGCATCTGGAAATCCTTTCTCTCTGTCCTCCTCCTTCTCCCAATGGCCTCACCACAAGTTTCCCTTGAAAGACTTGTCCGGACTGCTCACCGGGAAGCGAGGTCCCCAAGCCCCTAACCTCCTCAGAAGTCCTACCTGGGCTGCCACAGCTCTCCCGGGGGACCTCCCAGGCTGGGCAAGAGCTGAGAAAATGCCTGGGAGCTGCTGAGGCTGAGGTCAGACAGGTCCACTCCCTTGTGGTGAGCAAGTCTGGGTAGAGGAAGGAGACAGAACAGAAGGGTGCTTTAAACTGCAGCGTGAGCAGGGCCGGTGAATCACAACCACACTGCGCCCGCCCGGGCAGCAGGGCAAGGCTGTGACAACCACGTCTTCCGAGACTCCTGTTTGTTTCAAAGCAGCCGTGTTCAGAGGAGAGAGCCAGGCTGGGACAGCACCATGCCCAGAGGCTAAGGTGCCAGAATGATGTGTTGGTGCTGGCTGAGCACTTCACAGTGGCAGGCAGCTCCCTTCCCCACCAGCCAGCCTCCACTCCCCAGGCCCCAGGTCTGGCTCCAGTTACCTGAGATGCCCGAGGTGCTGGCAGATCTGCACCCCCAGGGCGGGGTTCCAGCCCTCATGGCAGACCAGGAGCCAGTCTGGCCGGGGCCTCACCTGCACTTCCAGCAAGTCCTCCCTGTTTATTCTGAAAGATACTGAACCATGGTGTGAAAACCATATCCCACCTACTGCAGGGACAGGAGGAGCTAGACCTGGGGCTCTGTAGGGGCCTGCGTGGTAGCATCTGTCACCCCTGTTAGGTTCCCTGGTCCCTGAGTGTCTGTCTGACCAGTCCTAAACACAGAATAAGCCCCATCCCCAGAGGCTTTCCGTTCTATTTTCAGTCTTCTGATCTCTCTCTCTCTCTCTCTTTCTCTCTCTCTCTCTCTCTCTCTCTCTCTCTCTCTCTCTCTCACACACACACACACACACACACACACACACACACACACACCTCTAACTGCCTCACTCTGCCCCAACAGCAAGCTCCCATCCCCCTGCCAGCCTGGAACCCCAGCTACGCCCCAGCTAGTGACTGTGACACCCTTTGGGAAGGTTCAAAAACCCTAAATCTAAAATCAGTTTTGCAGGGCTAGACTTTGTCATCACCTTCACACCAGAGGAGGGAAAGATGCATGGCGGTGAACCGATGGCCTTTCGTTTTGGTCCCTTTGTCCCAGCCAGAAAGGGACATCTGAGAGCTGTCCTGGGGCAGAAGAGGAGCACAACCCACCTGCTTTGGGAGGTGAGGGCAGCGGAGCACCCTCACCGCCGGCCTCCAAGCAGCTCAGAGTCGGATCCTCATCCTGCGAAGTCCCAGAGGTAGGCTGAGAGGCTGCTGGCCACAGATACAGGACTTCACGGAAAGACAGAGAAGGGGTGGAGCGAGGGGAGGGGCTGAGGAGTAGGACATGGCACTCCTGTGCCAGGACTGTGCCTGGGACCCTCATCACCCACTCGCCTTAGGGCAGCCCTGGCCAACCCACTGAAGAGCGGCAGTGAATTTATCTCTTTTTCTCTTGCTCTCTACACAGATGAAGGTTTATGTCCCCTCTATCAGTGACGCCCACTTAACACCTGCTTCTGTCTCTCAGAATCCCCCAGATCCTGTTCTTTGTCCCTCCCCAGACCACAGAAAGGCCCACAGCACTAACCTAAGAGCCATGAGCCAACTCCCACGCCAGCCAGCATCCCCAGGGCTCCCAGCACTGCACAGCCATGTCGAAAGGAGCACCAGTACCTTGCCTGAGACACTGCGGAGGAGGCGGAGGGTGCCTGGGCTCCGTGCTGCCCCCAGCAGCCTTACCTCTCCCTGAAGCACCCACTGAGCACAGGCCAGAGCCCTCCCCACCCTCCTCAGCAGGAATGAGTGAGGCAGGCCCTGGTCCCCAAGGCCCACAGAGCCCATTCGGTCCCCAACACAAGGAGGCAGCAAAGGCAGGTGAGGCGGAGTAAGACACCTGCTCACCATAATCACGTGGTACCAACCCAGTGGGAAAATAAGGTATACGGGTAGACGACCTGCCCTGTCCCACCCTGTCACTCCTCCATGGTCCAGTCTGGCCTACCGGGTTGCAGCTGGTTTCCTGGCTCTGCTCTGCAGATCCTGGGTCCTGGGCCCTCCTCTGCATACTGAGCCTCCATAGAGGCTTGGTCATCCAGCTTCAGGCTCTGGGAAAACAGTCGTCATGGGGCTGGGGATTTAGCTCAGTGGCTTAAGCGCTTGCCTGCCTGGCAAGCACGAGGTCATGAGTTCGATCCCCGGCACCAAAAAAAAAAAGAAAGAAAAAAAGAAAACAGTCGTCAGGTACCAGGATGCCCACACCAAGGGCTGCCACGAGAAGCTCCAGCCCACCCCAAATCCCACTCTGCCCTCAACCCTGCCCTGCTGGCTCTAAGGATGAGAGTGAACACTGGAGTCCAGTCTTGGCCCACTCCAAAGCCCAAAGTCTCCATGCACCCTCTTTTCATTAACTACTCCAGTTTTTTTCCAAGACATTGGCTGAGATACCTCAGTGCCAAAATCCAGACTTCAAGATTCTACCCTCCTTCATATCCTTCTGTCTCAGAGGAAGAAGCACCCTTCTCCTCCTGCACCCACTCACCCATTTATTCATTCAGCAAATAGCATTTAACCCCACTGCACAGACCTTTGCATGGGGTCATGGTAGAAATTTCAGGTTAAGTCAACGTGGCCCACCTCAGAGAACATGCACTCCTTTCCAGAAAATAAGAGGAATCTGAACAAAGTGGAGAACGTCAGGGTCCAGAAAACAAGTTCAGCAAAACTACAGCGGGCATTCAAAAGAATCAAAGCTCACTTCTCACTGATGAGATCCAAAAAGACTTCCTAGGAAAGGCAGCCCTGAGACAGGCCTTCATAGATGAGCAGGGCTTGGATGGTCCAAGCAAAGACACGGGAAAGAAAGCATAGAGCAGAATAAGTCATGTACCTATGTCTGAAGCTCTTGCATCATAAAGAGTAATAGGACATAAGATCTTGGATAAACACTAGACAGTTCAAACCTAGGTCTGCAACCTGCTATGTAAATTTGGACAACTCACACCAAACCTTCAAATGTTTTCTCATTTACAAAATAAAAGTGAAACCTCCTACTTCCTAATGAGAAATCTTATCTCACTTCTCTCATGCCTTGTCTGTTTGTCTGTCTGTCTATCTCTCTCTTTCTCTTTTCCAGACTACAGAGTCAGAGACATTTTTCGAAAGTGCGTCTACGAGCACGAGGTCCCCATCTTTAAAGTACCCAGTCCCGGACCAATCGAGTGTCCATGCCAGGGTTCACCAGGTCTCTGTGGTCTCACTCCCCTTCCTCCCGCCAATGCCAACTCCCTCTACTGCCCAGCTTAGGGCCGTCCTGACACACACGTGCCCCCCTCAGCACCCTTAGGCACTCTCACGCTGCAGAAACTGCTCCAGCCGTCCCTCTCCCTGCACAGGGGGCTGCAGCTCAGCTGGAGGTCGCTCATGCACGGCCTCAGCTGACTATATGTGCCAGGCCCTGGCTGGGCACCTGGCACAGAGGGACAATTCAGGTAAAGTACATAAAAGAGAAAGAGGGAGGAAGGGAATGGTGTTATAAACCATAAACACCACGCAAATGTTATCTATAATAATGTTAATAAAAATACATATAAACATTAGAGCCTTCAAGGAACTTAAATCCAGAAGGATAGGAAACCTGAAAATCACCTTTCTTTATTAATACATAGGGGATCCAGTGATTACAAAAGCCTGACACACTGACTCCAAAACATTATTGGCTTACAGTGAACAGGGGTCAAAGGACTATCCCCTTCTCACATAAACCCCATCCCTAGTCCTGCTTTTGTGCTCCACCGAGCTGCTTTTCTAACCTTCTGGCTGCTGCAAGGAAGGCCTTTGTCGGACTTGCTTAGGACATCCACCTCCCAATCACCTGAAAATAATTTCACTGCACCCAAAGCCACCTATACCAGCTCAGCTCACCCCCAGGGCTGCAGCCCAGCACCTTCCAAGGCGTGAGCTAGCAGCCCCGCCCACCATCCCCTGCACCAATCAGAGTCCGGGCCCGGAAGACTGGCCCTCCCACCAGAAGCCGGCCTTGCTCCTGCGAGGGAAACCCGGCCAGGATCTCAGCCCACCCCAGGGTTCCCTCTATGCACTCAGAGGGAGGGTGCAGGCATCGAAGCTGAGGCAGGAGGCTGGGGGAGCTGGTCGGGAAAAGCAGAAAAGCGGAAGCAAGGTGGATGTGAGGTTCAGCTTTCCTCTCTAGGAATATGGTTTCTCTTGAGCTGCTGTCCCGCAAAGCACAGAGGCGAGGCCTGCTTTAGACAGCTTTCTAGGCATGCCCAGCCTTTCTGTCTCAGTGTCCAGGGCTTTGAGTCCATCCTCCGAGCAAGCTGGCCTTCCCCGCCCAAGCTCGTGAGGACCCTCCCTGAAAGTCTGATCTGGAATGGCATGGAGGCACAGAACTTCTTGGTCCTCTTTCAGAGCAGGGATTCTATTGTAAAAAGATCTACTAAGCACCGCCTGTGTGCAAAGTACTTTGCCAGGGCTCTAGGGAAAGAAAGAGGAAAATAAAGGGCAGTCTCTGGGGAGAAAGCAACAGCTTAGCCACACAGGGCACACTGCAGGTCCTGAGGAGAGTCCTTCCACCAGCCTGGAGCCCACAGTAAGGGGGAGGGGGAGAATGAGGCAGAGATGGAGCAGGGATGGCACAGAGGCACAGCCTTACCATGTGGGTCACTGGCACTGATGTAAGGCTTCGGGTCTGCTAGGCAGGGCACTGCTCTTGTCCTCCTGTCAGCATGGATTAAATGGCCCAGCCAGCCTGGCTGGCGGTGAAGTCTCCCGGGTTCACACCCGGCCGCTCCCGTTCTCCCCCTACACATACACTCACACACAGACATGAGCCACAAAGACAATAAACTCTGCTCAGGGCCCGTGAATAGGCCCCTTGTTGCAGGGAAAGGGGCCAAGAGCTGGGCTGGGCTGGGCTGGGCAGCCCCAGCCCCTCCTGCTGCTAACTGGAAGCTCAGAAACAGAGAAAAAGATTATAGGGAGGAGGGAGGCCAACTACTGTTGCTTAGCAACCAGGTCTCTTGTGGCCAAAAGGGTTCCCCATGCATGCCAGCACAATTCTCCCGTCCTGCTGACAGGGCTGTATTGGACAGACAGATACCAGCATTGGTCCAAATGTCTCTGAGCTCTCTGTGTTACATCTTGCCTGTGTGGGTTGGCTGTGCCAGTGGTCTGGGGCTGTCACCAAGCTGGAGTTGGTGATAAGGAGGGATGGTGTCACCTGCCTCTCCAAGGCTATGCCTGTCCCCTCAGTGCTAGAAGGTGGGGCCTCTGCACCAGGCCTGCCCTGGGAGCCAGTTCCATAGGAGGCCACCGTGCTGCCTTGTTTCAATCCACTAAGTGACAGAGCTGGGCCCAGACTGAGCTGAACGCACCTAGGAACCATATTTCTTCAGACAAAGGAAGCAGGATAAACCCAGGCAAAGGAGAAGCTGGTATGGCTTCCTCTCTTCCCGTGTGACCCTCAGGAATCCTTCAGATGGAACAGTTAAGAATACAGGTTTTAAGTCAGGCACAGTGGCACATGCCAGTAATCCCAGCTCTTAAAAATCTGGTGCGAAAGGATCTTGAGTTCAAAGCCAGCCTGGGCTATGTAGCCAGATCTTGTATCAAAAGCCAAAAGAAAACAGGCTTTAGAGGCAACCTTTTGTGTAACCCCAGTGTCCCTTTTCCCCAGTCAGCCTTACCTGTAAAATTAAGATACAGTACCTAGCTCCCGGGTCGATGTTAGCACTAAATGTGATACTCAGCATAAAACTCTCAGCCTGCTATCTAGCATCACCTGTTGTTGAGCCTCACCACAGAGGCTGTATCTGCACACAGTACAGTGAAGGGACAGAGATCAGCTGTGAATCATAGATGTAGGAGGAGAGGAGTGGTGACGAGAGCTGACAATTTCCTGGCTAGGCCCTGGGGTCTCCTAATGCAATATATTCAGCCTATAAACTTGAAGGCCTACTGTGTGTTGTGAGCGTGGGAGATGAGGCTTGGAGCTTGCAAGCTGAAAGGAAAGGAAGGAACAGATAGGAACAATTGTTTCTTGTGCAAAGTGAAGCTACAGAGGTCTGGGCACAGAGGTATGGGAGAGTGGAGGAGCAGTTGGCTCCTGTGCCCCAGGACATAAAGGAGGCATCACAATGGAGCATACACTGGATCCGAGTTTTGAGAAATGAGAAGGCAATCATAGAAAGGGGTATTTCAGATATATTGCAGATGATATCAGTGAAACTGACAGAGGAGTAAGCCTCTGATCATTCTCTTCTCCATAAAAGCAGTAAGAAAACTATCAAAGAAATGGTCAGAATCAACTCTTTCAAGTTTCTAGAAATTAGCCAAAGGTTTGTAACGGTCTAGAAAGTGTCCATTCAAAACAGGTAACATTCTGGGTGCAGTGGCACCTCTCTGTGGTCCCAGCTACTTTGGAGGCTGAAGAAGGATCAGAAATTCAAGGCCAGCCTGATCAACTTAGCAAGATCCTATGTAAAAAGGACTGTGAATGTAGCTCAGAAGTACAGCACTTACCTAGCATGCATGAGTTTCTGGGTTCAATCCCCAAGAAAACAAACACACACACACTCACACTGAGAACAATGAGGTTTGTGCATTTAAACCCGCTGCAGTTTCATCCCCCTCCTCCAACTCTACAGTAGCATCATCCCTAATCTTAATAGAAGCCAGCAGCCCGGAAGTCACATGAAGGAATAAAACAGCCTTAAGTTCCTCCAAAACCTCATTCCCAGAAAGCTGTCCCTATCTGACCTGCCCGCTGGTTCCTTAGTACATCCCATTTGCAAGACTATCTGTTTTGATTTGACTTGGTGTCTGCTTGGTTTGATTAGCTTTTTATCAAATGGCATTTGTTAAAAACAATTAGAGACAACTGTTGGACTTTATGGCTGTGTGGGGCAGTGAATAGCAGTTAAGGCAAATAACAGACAACCCAAAAACAGGTGGGTCAAACAAAAGATATTAAAGGACTATCTGCAGAATAAGATTCCCATAAGAGGCTGTGAAAGGCCCCCAATATATTTCTGGAGCTCTAGAAAGTCACACACACTCATGTACACACACATGCACAGCTGTGCACATGCCCTGCTTGTCTGTGCGCAGGCAGACCTAAGGAAGGTACAAGGCTCTCACTCCTGGCTTATCCTGAGAGTCTCCACAAGTAAGAAGATGTTGTAAACTTCCTGTATGCCCTAACATATAAACAGAGCCCCTCTGGAAAAGAGGGGAGACATACTAGTTTCAAGCATCAAGACAGTCATCAATCATCAATTGGCCACTGAGCAGACTTCAGTAGCCATTCTTGAGGAAGAATACAGACTTCATAGAATCAGTTCTGAAAAGTCACTAAATAAATAAGCAACAGCAACAATAACAAACCCTAAGGGAAGGAAAAATCTGACCTCTGGCATTACTGTATTATATTATAGCATTAAAAAAACTTATTAGTAAGCTTTTATAAGGCACTCAAAAAAACAAGAAAATGAGGCCCATACACAATGCGGTTGGAGGTGTCAACAAACAGAATTATCCTTTGACAAAACCTAGACACTGGGAAACTCTATGCACTCTGAAAGGAAACCTGCCCTTTTTTTGATAGAACCTAGATGGTTCTCACGCACAACATCTTAGAAGCCTCTCTTTGGCATCATGTTGGTAGAAAGAGGAAATACTGTTTACAAAAAGCATACAAAAAACTCTTTGCTGACTAACTGATGGCCCAACTCACCTCTGAGCTGACAGCTGGCCTCACCTCGGAATCCTACTGCTCCTCACAAACTGATCCAGGCTCCTGGCCATGTACAATTGCCTTTTTCTTGGACATGGCAGTTCAGCTCTTGTCTTGCTGTCTTCTTCTGCTGCTTTCATTTGGATTTTCCCCAAGAAGGCTGGCAATGGTTTGCACACATACTAGGGAGAGCTCATGTTCCTCAATCTTAGCAGCTGGCATCTTCCCTAACCAAGTCCCATTTCTGATTATGCCCATTGCTGTCAAGTTGGCTATGACATAGTCATTCTGGGAGTGGTTTTACTAAACCTATTGGATTCTGTTAAACATAACTCAAAGTACAGTCAACTCTCAAAAATCTAGAGATAGATTAAGACACGGTAGAAATTAATACATAAGGTTCTGGTGCCCCTACCTCCTCACAGTAGCCCCTCTATTCTCTTTCTATCTATCTTTTTTCCAAGTACTTTTCCCCAAGTATCTTTTGTTATAATAAATAAATAAATACAAGAAATGAATAATGATGTTCTCTGCTCCTGGAAGTTTACAACCCATCCTTCCCTCTACCTTCTCAGCATAAACCCTTAAGCCAAGAAGAGCTTAAAGTATTTCAACCCCTAAAAGAAAACAACTTCCAACCCAGATTGATGTATCGTGCAAAACTATCTTTTGAACTTGATGAAGAAATAAGATCCTTCCATGGTAAAGAACATCTGAAAAAGTCATGGCCACCAAACCAAGCACTCCAAAATGTTCTAAAGGATATTCTAGAAAGAGATAATAAGAATTTCTGCTCTGTGAAGCCCAACCCCCCAGATAATAGAAATAGTAAAACAGAGGATAAAAGGAATGAGAGGGGGGAAAAGCCAATTCATTTTTGAGTTGGAGGAAGCCATGCTGGGTCTGGGAGGAGTAGTAAGAAGCCAGTTTGCCCTTCCAGTGAGCTGGCACAAACCATGCAGACTTGGGAGGAGAAGCAAGCCAATCCGCCCTTCCTGTGAGTCAGCAGAAGCCATGCTAAGCCTAGGAGGAGTAACAAGAAGCCAATTCACCCTTCTCGAGAGCTGCCACAGCCATGTGGGGCCCAGGAGGAGAAAAGAGACAATTCACCCTTTCTTTTGAGCCAGCCAGACAAGAACACATCCCCCCTCCCCATCCCATAAGCAACCAGCTGATTCACTGGGCAGGCTGAGTTAATAGCAACTGAGGTACAAAAACAACTTAGTGCTTGCATCGTTTGATTGACTTTGCAGGCCCAGCACTGGTGGTCTAAGCGTCTATTAAGAGGATAAAAGTATGCAGTATAGAAAATATGGGGAATTTCCTTCTGTCTTGTTTTGAGACTCAATATTGTTCTCACTGTTTTGTTCCATTTTATTGTTTTGTTTTATTCAACATTGTTTTGATTGCTCTTATTTTGTTCTGTTTTGTTTGATTTTATTATGTCTACTGGTATGAGTAGCAATTTTGAAGATAACAAGAGGCATTATGGTAACCACTGTTTTCCTATTATCGTGTTTTGAAGTTCTGTATCACTTTCATTGTTTTGTTTTGATTGGCTTTTTCTGTTTTGCTTGGTTTGGTTTTATTCTCTTTAAAATATGCCTATATTCTTTTGTTTTGATTGGTTTTATTGTTTTGTTTTGTTTGATTTTACTATGCCTAATGTTATGAACAGCTATTTTGAAGAAAACAAGAAACATTATAGTAGCCAGCACTGATTTCCTATTATCTTGCTTTAAAGTTCTGTATCTCTTTCATTGTTCTGTTCTGATTAGCTTTATTCTGTTTTGTTTTGTTTGACTTTATTCTCTTTAAAATAAAAAAAAGAGGAGAAAAAAGGGAGTCAACAACAGGAAAATAACATGATAATAATAAGTCAATACATATCAGTCATAACTATCATATTAATTGCCTCAATTCACCAATCCAAAAAAGAAAACTGACTAGCAGAATGGATCAAGAAGCAAGATCCAACAATATGCTGCATACATGAAACACATTTAATTCAAAAAGAAACTCATAGACTGAAAATCAAAGAGTGGAAAACAATATCCCATGGGCCAGGAACCACAAATAAGCCGAGGTAGCTCTTCTGTTTTCAGACAGCGTGGACTGTCAGATGAAGACTGATGAGAGGTAGAGAAATTCACTACACCCTTGAGAATCCAAGAGACAGAGATAACAATCATAAATATATATGCAACAAATACCAAGGCATCCAACTATGTAAAACAAGTATTAACAGACATAAAAAAATCAAATAAGCACTAATATAATTGTAATGGGGGATCTCCATATCCCACCACCACAAATAGACAGATCAACTAGACAAAAACTCAACAAAGAAATATCAGAGTGAATCCAAACCTGTGAACATATGAACTTGGCAGATGTTTGCAGAGTGTTCCACCCCACATGAAAATATGCATTCGTCTTAGCTATACATGGGACATTCTCCAACGCAGACCACATTCTAGCTCACACACCAGCTAAATATTTCATAGATCCCTTTAGGCAACATTTTTAGCTATTTCAGTTTTTGTAAATATTTCAAAAAATTTCCCTCAATGAGCTTAGTTTGTCTGGCCTGTTTTTCTTTTGTTTTTCTCTAACACATTGGTATGTGTAAGAGAATAAATTGGTAAAAATCAGTAAATTAAAAAGTTCCCATAGTACAACATTACGGTCATACTAATGAATCTGTGACCAAGAATAACTTCACCCATATTTTAAACTTCCTTAAAGAAATAACTGAACAAGTCTTTTTCTCCAAAATATAAAACTGTTCTGCCCAAATTGGTTGTATTTATAGTTTTTACATGAATATCCTTGGTCTAGCAATGTGCACCAATTAATTTCATTTGCATTCTAATGTGATTGGAAGGTGCTCACAAAGCAGGCAGAGTGCCACACTGGGTCATGTGTGCACCACACTCTCTCTGCCATCATGAGCTTCCTGTGCCCGGGGAGGAGACAGGAAGCTGTTCTGCACATGGCTCTGCTAATGGCAGAAAAAAGTTTTCATTCTAGAGCTTGAACTTCCTTTAACAGAAGTCCCAAAACACCAAAAATGTAATCAAAGTAAGAGATCAATTTATAGTGGCATAGGGGCTGGGGATTTAGCTCAGTGGCATAAGCACCTGCCTTCCAAGTGTGTGAGTTCAATCTCCGGTACTGATAAAAAAATTTATAGTGGTATAATTTAAAGTTATACTTTAAAGTTATTTTAGACAACTGAAATCTCTAAATAGACACATTTAAAGTTATACCTTAAAGTTATTTTTAAAAAACTGAAATCTCTAAGTAGACAGTCTTTCATCCATTTTCACCAGAACCGTGCAGTTGAAATGACATCTATTCATATCCTTAAAGGTGAACAATTAAAATAACACTTAATTTTGTGTTTTCACAATATGTTTTGATATACTTTGTACAATTAATGTTACTTATATAAGTTGTATGCCAACTTTAAGAACTCAGTGGCTTTTGATGACAACTTTTTCATTTGTGTACCCACTTTTTACATGGGTCATTTTTGATCTATTATTTTCAACATTAAACAACATAATGTTATAGGAAACATAATATGACCCAAAATTTTTAAAAATTGTATTTATAAATTCTCTCTGAGCACAGGTCACCACCAAGGGGGGAAGGCCAGAGCCAAGCCTTTCCCCACTGGTCAGCACCATTAGTGAACTGTGGAAGGAGAATAAAGATTCACAAGAAGCCAGCCCTGCCTGCGAACCAGCAGCAGGTGCAGACCACCAGCAGTTGGGGGACGACAAACCTCAGCCCCTTTCAGCACACAGGCTGGCAAAGAAGAAGAGTCACTCCCTCCCTCTCCCTATCAAAGGGACCAGCTGATCTGGAGAAACATGGCTGTAATGACAGCTATGGAGGTGAATTGCAATTGGACGCCTGTGGTGCTGTGGTGTTTCACTAACACTGCAGTCTGGGGCCAGGGGTCTGATCATCTATTCAGAGGATTGTGGTACACAATGTGGCATCTAGGGGGATCTTCTTCTGAGGGTGGTAGCTGTTGTTAATTCCCTTTTTTTAACCGATATCAGGGATTGAACTCATGACTGTGCACTTGCAAGGCAGGCGCTTATGCCACTGAGCTAAATCCCCAGCCCCCTATTATCTTATTTTTAAGTCCTGTATAATTTTCATTGCTTTGTTGAGTTGGGTTTTGTTCTCTTTTACTTTGATTTTGCTACAGCTGATGGCATGAGCTGCTATTCTAAAGATAGCAAGCTATTTTATGGTAGCCATTTTGGATTTACTATTGTCTTGTTTTGAAGTCCTTTATTGCATTCACTGTTTTGTTTTTATTGGTTCTGTTCTATTCTGTTTGATTTTTACTATGACTGAAGATATCTGCAACTATTTGGAAAACAGCAAGAGGCATTATGGTAACTATTGTTGATTTTGTGTTGTTTTGAAGTCACTTATACTGGTTTGTTTTCCTTTGTTTTGTCCTCTTTAAAATAAAAATTTTTTTAAAAACAGAGGAGACCCAGTCAGCGGCTCCCGTGAGCCTACCTGTGCACAGGCTGGGAATCAAACATCTCAGCCCCTTCATAGCCCGTCAGCAACGGGGGACAGAACTCTGAGCATCTCTTGGGAGGATGACCGTATGTAGTGTAGCAAATATGGGGGATTTCATTCCATCTTCTGTTTATAAGAAAATGGTTTTTTTCACTGTTTTGTTTCATTATGATTAATTGTTTTACTCTATTCAATATTCTCTTTTGATTGATTTTATAATGTTCTGGTTTTGGTTTGATTTTGCTAGACCAGATTGAATGGACAACTATTGTGAAGATAACGGGATATACTACAGTACCTATTACTGCTATCCCAGTATCCTGCTGTGAAGTTCTGTACCAATTTCATGGCATTGTCTTGGCTGGCTTTGTTCTGTTGTATTTTTACTACCTTCAAAATAAATAAAATAAATTTCAAAAAAAGAAATAAATTTTCTCTGTTGTGAATAAAGCCTATTAAAATACTTCAAAAAATGAAAAAAGAGATTACAATTTGATTGTGGAATCAAGCACATACCCATGGGGGTGACCTGAGAGAGGAGGTGTTGGCTGAACCAGAGCTGAGAGCCACAGTGGCACGCCGGGTGATGGTAGGCAGTGCTTACGCTGAAACCCTGCCCCGGGGGCCACTCATCGAAAGGCTACTGTGCTGGAATCTGGAGGCTGAGGCTATCTGGCTCGGACTCGGAAGTCACATTGTAGGGAAAAGACAGGCTCTACAAAAGGCAGTGTGTGAAAGTGCAGTGTCACAAGATAAAGGAACCTGGGCCATCAGAGGAGCCACAGATGCTCACCGGGAAAGTAGGGCCAAGTCAGTCTCGAAAGGATGCAGGGCAAAGCCTGGCCAGACAACCACGTCCTTACTCTGGGCTTGGATTTTCCCACTGATGATAGCGGGTTATCTGACTCTGATGTTTTTCCTCACCATTCTTTAGAAGAAAATGTAAAACAAAAGCTTCACAACATTGGATTGGACAATGATTTTGTGAATACAACATCAAAGGACAGGTAATAAAAATATACAAATTGAACTTCATAAAAATTTTAAATTTATGGTTATCAAAAGACAGTATCAACAGTGAAAAAGCAATCCAAAAAGTGGGGAAAATATTTGCAATACTATTAATATAGTATTCATATCCAGAACATATAACAAAAAGCTATAATACAAATAAATAATTTAGGGCTGGGGATTTGGCTCAGTGGCATAAGTACCTTCCTGGCAAGCATGAGGTGATGGGTTTGATCCCTGGCACCAAAAATACAATAAAATAGAAATCCAAAAACTAAACAGTTACCTGGGCATGGCAGCACCACCTGTAACTCCAGCACTTGGGAGGCTGAGGCAACAGGATTGCCTCAAATTCAGAGCCAACCTGAACTCCATAGTGAGTGCCTCAAAAAATACATGAATAAATCACATAAAAAGTATCAAAGAACTTGAATAGACATTTCTCCAAAGAAAATAGACAAATAGCCAATAAGCACATGAAAAGATGTTGACTCTCACCAATCATCAGAGAAACACAGATCAGAACTATAATTAAATTCCACCTCACACTCCTTATGATTAATACTAAAAAGTAGAAAAGTTTTGGCAAGTATGTGATGAAATTGGAATCCTCTGCCCTGTTTTTGGAAATACAAAAAGGTAAAGTTACAGTGGAAAACGATACTGCAATTCCTCAAAAGTACTTTAAAGATGCTAGGCACAGTGGTGTAGTCTGTAGTCCCAGCTTCTTGGGAGGCTGAAGCAGAAGGATCACAAATTCAAGGACGGTGTGAGATGCTTTGTAAGATCCTGTCTTAAATTTGTTAAAAATGAAAAGGGATGGGCACATAGAAAATAGCCTGGACTCCCCTAGGTTCAGGCACTTATGGTTCCCTATCAACTGCCCCCCTTGCAAGGACCCAAGAGATGTGGCTCTTCATGAGACCCCTGAGCAGGAGATTGGTATCACGGGAGATTGCCTCTTCAGAGTCTCTGCTCTCTCAGGGGGACATGGATTTTTTTCCACTTCTTTAATGAAAGAAACGCCACTACGAGTTCTCTTCAACCTCCTCCTCATGATCTCCACAGCAATGAACCAGCCCCACCAGCCCCAAGTTACTCAGAAACACTAGCAAGGGCTGGGTCCCAGGAGAGCCCTGATACTCTCCACCACCCTCCTCAAGATCCTCTGGTAAGTTTAAGCCCCACAGGAGCTATCCTCACATAGAGCTTCCCCCTCACAGCTCATCTTGACCCTAAAAGATGTTGAAAGAGTGGATGGTCCTATCCAAGTTCAGGTCCTATTCTCAGTGGCAGATACCCAACAATAATAATAAATGATGCTTATAACTGATTTTCAGAAGATCCTAGATTTGCAGATGGATTTTAGGCTTAGCCCCTTTGTTAAACTGCTCATGGTAAGGAGTCCAAATTGTCCTCTCTACATGCTGTGCCCCACATGAAACAAAAGAATCTTGGAAGAGGATAGAGATATGCAGGTGAGTGATTTGCCACAGGAAAGGATGAGACTCTCTGAGGAGTGGTTACTGTCTCTCCAGCAGAATCAAACTGGGGCTATAATTTTGTGGATGGAC